AGAAGAACATGTATTCTGATGCTGCTGGATGAAGTATTCAGTAGATGTCTGTTAAGTCTAGTGGATCTATACAGTTGTTTAAGTCTGAGGTTTCTCTGTTGAGTTTTTGCTGGGTTGACCTATCCAGAGGGGAAAGTGGTGTGTTAAAGGGGCTGGGAAGGTGGCTCAGTGGTAGAGCGCTTGCCTTGCATGCATGAGGCCCTGGGTTCGATTCCTCAGCACCACATAAGCAAAAAGAAAAAAGCCGGAAGTGGCGCTGTGGTAGAGCGCTAACCTTGAGCTGAAGAGCTGAGGGACAGCGCCCAGGCCCAGAGTTCAGGCCCCACGACTGGACCCCCCCCCCCCAAAAAAAAAAGAAAAAAAAAAAAAGAAAGTCCCCAACAAATAATGTCTTTGGAGCTATGTGTGATTTTAGGGAAAGTAATGTTTCTTGGATAAAATTTGGGTGCTCCATTATTTGGTGAATACATATTTAGAACTGTAATACCCTCCTGAAGGAGAGAGCCCTTAATTAGTATGTAATGACCTTCTTTATCTCTTCTCACTAATTTTAATTTGAAGTCTATTTTATCTGATATTAGGATTGCAACTCCTACCTGTTTATGGGGGCCGTTTGCTTGGTAGATTTTATTCCAGGCTTTCTTGTGGGCAAGATGTGTCTGTTGCAGGACCAACCCAGATGCCCCTCAGTAGATGAATGGATCAAGAAAACGTGTCACACACACACACACACACACACACACACACACGAATTCTATGCCTCCATCAGAAAGAATGATACTACCCTATTTGTTAGGAAATAGAAAGACCTGGAAAAAAATATATTAAGTGAAGTAAGCCAAGCCCAAAGAAACAGATCCCATGGTTTCCCTAATCTGCAATAACTAAGTATATGTCTAGGACAAACAGAAGAGGTCAAAAGCTATGTACATATGACCATGCAACCTGATGCTAAGCGAAATGAACCCAAGATAGGGACACAAGAGGTTTTATCTTTCTTGCTGTTCTTCTTAATGTACTTACAATATACTATGTGCTTTTTTTTGTTTCTTTTGTATGTTCTTCCTCCATGGTACAACCCCTGTTGTCACTGTATTTGAGTCTGGTGCCCTGCATCTTGTATATACATTTTTCTAATTTGGGGAGGAAATGGGAAATAACAAAATGCTGAAATAAAGACACAGGATGATCCATTGTAACAATGAGATGTACAAGACAGTATGTTGCAGGGGCGGGGGAGTGGTGGTGGAAGAGGGGCGAGAGGAGTTGGGGAGGTAGGGAGGAAAGGTACAGTAGGGGAAATATAAAGGAAGGTGTAGCAGTGCTCCATAGGAAATGAACTCATTACCTTGCTCATGTAACTGTAACCCCTCTGTACAGTATGTTTACAATAAAAGTACATATTTTAAAAAAAGAAGTGAGTGGTGGGGAACGGAATGCCTACCTGTAGAAGAGGGGGTTCCCTGATGCATGATAGATTGATTTAGAAGACCCCTTCCAGCTCCTTTATTTCACTCATGGAAACTGTGGCTCAGCATGGTGACATCACAATGCTAGCTGGTTCGGGTCAGAGTGGTAAAAGAAAGTGTCAAGGCTCATAGCATATTTTGTTTCTTGCCATTGGTCTGGTGCATGTGGAGAAGATTCACTGCTTGGTTGTGCTTACTGAGTAGTAATTATGAACTGAAAATGTTGTTAAGTGCATATTATGGCAATGATGTGTTATGTGCTTTCAGCTCGGGCTTTAATACCAAGGCTGTTGGGAAAGAGGGTCGTGGTTCAATTTAATACAACAAGAGGCCTTAGACATCAGTCACATCAACTTTATTTAACACATAAGAAAACAGACTCAGGGATAGAGGCACATTGTCTTAAGGCTGTTCTGATTTGTTCCAGTCTTGCTTATAATTAAGATCCCTGGTCTTCTAACTCATCAGGCTTGTGCTTTCTTCTTCTTTTTTTTAACTGGTATGGTTAGGTGTTCTTTTATTTGCATTCATTTTATTTGTGACATGATCCAAATTAGTGGCTTCCTTCCTTTTTTTGTTTTTTTGTTTTATTGTCAAGGTGGTGTGCAGAGGGGTTATAGTTACATAAAAAAGGTAATAAGGGCATTTCTTGTCAAACTTGTTACCCTCTCCCTCATTTGTCTCCTACTTTTCCCTCCCCGCAACCCTCTCCCCCCAAGTTTAAAGTTCATTTCCAACATATTGTCTTGGGAGTATCTCTGTTGCATTGGTTCCCTTTTTGTCCTTTGTCTCACCATTCTGTTGTTCCCTTTCCTTTCTCTAATTCAGATAAATGTATATACAATACCATGGTACCAAAATCAAATACAGTGCCAACAGGGGATATACCATTAGGGGGAAGAACATACAAAAGTAACAAGAAACCACATAGTATATTAAAACCAACAACAATGAAGAAAAAACTCTTGTGTCCAGGTCTTGGCCATGAGCTTATCCAGGTGGTTTTGGCAGCCATTGGATTGTCTTCCGTGATTCAGCTGATTGCTTTGACACTAACACCCGTCAAAGCTAGACACTGAACCCAGAACCATATCCACACTGCCGTGGGTGTGTTTAGAAACAAAGAGAAGTACACTGTTGTGAACTGACTGTTTTCAGCATTAATTTCCAGGTTCCTTCTGAATAAAACTCCTACATATTTCCACATAAAGCACAGAGCCTGGCCTCAATAAAAAATGTGTTGAATGTGTAATGTCATGCCAAAAGGTGTTCCTCTTGAAAATAAATTTGCCTAGGATGAATTGTACAGGTCTCATTCTGCCCAAGTGTGGGCACTTACTAAGAGTCACATGGTTTGTACTCTTTTAATAAGAACCAGCAGAGAGGGCTGTCAGCTGACTAAGGAAGGATATAATGTGAGTGTTAGAAATGCTCTGATCTGAATGTGACCCCTGGCTGGAATGCCACAAATATAAACTGTCCAAGTGGGCTGGCCTAGTGACCTCCCTTTACAAAGGTCTTTTCTTTCTAGAAATCAGCAGTCCTGTCCTTTTGTATCAGACCTGATACACATATACTTGCAATCTCATGCACACGCACACATTTTCCTCTAGAATCACTATGGAAAGACTCACTGCTTTTTCTGCCATCTTAAAATGACGCTTTGCTATGTAGTAAAATGTAAAATCTTTATTCTTAAAAACTGCCTACTCTACCCTGAAAACCTCTGGACAAGCAGATTACTGAATAACCCATGACTCTGCCCTTTATCTGATTAGATTGCTAACAGAGATCACAAGACATCTTTTAAGAAGCTGGAGGCCTTTGGAGTTCTGAATGATCACAGAGGGCTTTCTTCCCTGAGCTTCCTCAAATGTCATGGCCCACCCAGGACAGTATCAAAGGGGACCACTTTTTCATCAGACACTAACAAAAGAAAAAGAATTAAAACTCCCTATGGGAAAATGAAAGTTTATATGTGGGTTATAAGTCATATGGAGAGTTTTCTTTTTTACTGCCTTCCATCACTGACTAGATGAGTATGAGATTTTTTCAAAATGTTTTTGTGGCATAACCTATGTAAGAAATGTTTTAGAATTGTGCTGGCTGGTAAAGCTCTCTTCTTTTCAGTGACACATGTTTAAAAACACCAATACTAGCTGTAGCTATTCAGACATTTTCACTAATTGTTCAGGGACTCTGCATTTCTCTGATCTCAGTGTAATGCACAATCAAAAAAAAAAACTATGTGGTAATTTATATTAAAATTTACCAGCCATCAAAATTTGTTCTCAAAATTTTGATACATTTATCTTAGAGGCTGTATGAACTTATATTTTCTAATGTGCACCCTAGGCTCCACATTTTTTCTTTCCAAGAAATAAAGTAAAACTTTATTTTAATTTATATAATTGTAAAAAACTTTTAATATTAATGAACATCCAAATAAGAATTAAAAACTTATGGTTACATGCTACTAGAGTTTGGGTTCTGGAAAGATATATCTAATCTTAATTAGTTTCTGTCATCGGTGGTCACTAGTAGAGCTGGAAGTAATAGGATTCTTTTTTTTTTTTTTTGCTAGTGTTAAGATTTGAACTCAGGATCTCACATTTACTAGAGTTCTTTACCATTTGAGTTGCACTACCAGCTATGCTTCTTCTGGTTATTTTTAAAATGGAGTCTCATGCTCTTTTTTTGCTTGGATTTGGCTTCCAGTCTCAGCATCCCAAGTAGCTATAGTTATAAGCATGAGCTGCTGGTGCCTAATTTTTTTTTATTTACTTTTGATACTCAGCTGAAATTCCTGTAAAAATTTTTTTGTTATAAACCATAGTCTGAACCTCTAATTTCACAACCTAGATTTTATTTCTACTATATTTTTGGTACCATGAATAAAAGAAAATGAAAACTTAAATTTTGAGCAGTTCTAAGGTATTGTGTGCTTTATGTGTGTTTAATTCTATTCTTTCTTTCTGGATCTTTATATTTGCATATATTAATATTTTAAAAGATATTCATTTTTAATCATTGTATCCCAGGTTTGAAGAACACTGCTCAATATGATATCTTCTCTGAACTCTAGTATGAGTGCGTGAGGTGGTCTCAGTTCTTAAGTAGAGACTAACATTGTGTTATCTGATACAGTAGCCATGAACCACCTGTGACTGACCATGTGCTATGCAGGTAGCTAGTGTGGTCCAGAAATTGAATTCAAAATTTTATTTCATTTCAATTAATTAAGATGGAAATAGCCTCAAATGAATAGTGGGATACTGTATTAGTGCATTATTAAGAAATTATATGGCACACAGTCCTTTATCAGTACATGTTTGTTAAATGAAAGAATTTACTTCTGGATCCAAAGAAGAAGAGAAAGTCTACGGGATTGTATATTTAAATTACTCTTTATAGATTAGAAATGAAACTCTTTTCTAAGTGACCTGCTTATCCTGGTGGCTTCATGAAGTTGCAATATATAAATCAGTCTCTGATTTTAATATGTTTTTATTTATTTAATTTTGGTTCTAGGTCAAGAAAGGTTTGGAAACATGACAAGAGTCTATTACCGAGAGGCTATGGGCGCATTTATTGTCTTCGATGTCACCAGGCCAGCCACATTTGAAGCAGTGGTAAAGTGGAAAAATGATTTGGACTCGAAATTAACTCTGCCTAATGGCAAACCAGTTTCAGTGGTTTTACTGGCCAACAAATGTGACCAGGGCAAGGATGTGCTTATAAACAATGGCCTCAAGATGGACCAGTTCTGCAAGGAGCATGGCTTCGTAGGATGGTTTGAAACATCAGCTAAGGTAATGTGACCATTAAGGGCTAAGCGTATTATAGGCAAGATTCACAAAGAAAATACATCATTGACATCATCAGAATGATAATGTGTCTGTGTAATGATTTATCACTCTTAAATTAAGTTCTTATGTCAAGGCAATGAATGAGGAGTTTAGGAATTACTAACTTCTGTCACTACTATCTGTGACTAAGCCTTTTTCTATTTTTTCTTTCTTTCTTTCTTTCTTTCTTTTTTCTTTCTTTCTTTCTTTTCTTGGTGCTGATTCTGAGGTCTGAACTCAGGGCCTGAGTGGGTTTTTTTGTGTGTTTTTTTTTGTTTTGTTTTGTTTTTACTCAAGGGTGGTGCTCTGTCTACCATTTGAACCACAGGTTCACTTCTTGCTGTTTGGTGGTTAACTGGGGATAAGAGTCTAATGGATTTTACTGCCTAGTCTCATTTTGAACTTTGATTTTCAGATCTCAGTCTCCTATGAAGCTAGGATTAGAGGAGTGAGCCAATTCTCATCTTTGGAAAGTTCCTAGAAGATTTTTCTTCACTCAGAAGCTCTCATGTTCTAACATGCCATTTCTTCTCATTTCCTTTTTGAGTTCTTTATTTCCAATATTTCTTCAGATTCATACCTTGGGTTAGTAAATAATTACCATTTTTGAAATTTTTTTCAGTTTTTTTGTTCCTCTGAAGGATTTGCTGTGATAAAGAGAAATAGAAATAGCAAAACTGAGATGAGGTTACGTTACAGAAAAATATGACAAAGTTTTAGTATCAGATTTTCTTTCTGTGATGTTAGCCTAGATTTTGTTTTTAAGACCAAGATGGGAGTTAATTCATACCATCTCCTCTTTCCCTTAGGTGAACATAAAGCATCAAAATTTTACATTTGATTCAAATTGCTTTCTTTCAAAAAAGAGTCACTATGCAGTCTAGAAGCTTCTAGATAGAGGAGGGAAAGAGGACCATCCTGGGGAACTTCTTTTCTCCATTGATTGTTTTATAGTTAAGGGCAAACTACACTGTATGCTGTACATGAGGAAGGAAATCTTCCATTATTCATTAATTCAATATGTATTGTAGAATATATGTCACATGCTAGTCAAGCATTCTAGGCACTGAGAGTTTATGTATTTATAGAACAGAACCCTGACATCTTGGATAAAAACAATACAACATAAATAAAATGTAGAATATGTTTCTTATTGATTAAATGTTAGCAAGCAAAAAGAGAAAGAAAGGAAGAGCTTTATGGGTTATGGGAAAGACAGAAATTTCTTCTAGGTTCAAAAACCTTCTCAACCTTTTACCCCCATTTTGTTCTGACATTCTTTGTTCCTTCATAGCAATGTCAAACTCTATGTTTTAGACCATGATTTCATTAACATTAAGCCTAGCTGACACTTACACTTAGGTATTAGATTTCTAATCCTTTAAATCTCTGTGCCTGTATCTTTGAATAGAATCTGTGTTTGGTACAGGAGGGGGACTGAGGAGTTGATAGCAGGACCAAGAGAGTATAAGACTTCATTGTAGAAGATAGATCAGCATGCAGCACATGTTCCCTCTAAACATCCAGCAATGAAGCATGTCTTTCAGAGTATCTTAATGAAAATGGCTTGCCTGGGGTAGGATTACATTCTCTCAATGTGTAAGCTGAGGAATAACACTGTAGCATTGACAAAGTGGAGTGTCAAGTCATTTGAAACACTTTTCAAAGATCTGTAAGGTTTCACTGTCTATACTTGGCTCTGATGTACATACCTGTGTATCGTTGGAGAATCCATTTAGCCTTTTTGTTTTTTTTTCTTTTTCTAATCTTTCTGACTGCCAACTTCTTGAATGCAGCATTAAGAATGATGAAATTTGGGCCCAAATCAAATAATCTTCCTATTGGTGAAATGGAAATATTTGGGACATTCCTTCTTTAGGATCAGAGAATATTTCCCACCAAAAGCTTTCTCTTCGAAAGAGAATCTGTGAATGATTAGAGAACTCTTGAGTGTTATGTTAATGAGACTGGTGATGGATATCTGATTTCCTTTTATTTATATCTCTGAAACTTCTAATGACCCAAATCACATCCTCCAACTTTGTTTCCATGGACAGATCTTCTATAAACCTTGTGAATAACATCATTATCATCATAACCTAGCCTGCTCTGTGTCTAAGACTCATGGAGTGTTAGATGAGTTGTCATTGAAACGATCCACATTCTGCCATGGTCCCCACTACTAAGGAAGACTTACATTCTTACTTTGCCATTACCAACAGTAACTTACCATTGAGGGTTTTCATGCCTACCACTGTTGTCTATTACTGTTATTTCACCATAGTAAATTAAAAAAAAACTAATAATTAAATGTATTCTGTTATACTTCAGTTTTTTTTACTTCATCTCTTCAATATTAAAAACAAAGCAAAGAGAAAACAATCTTTTCTAACTCAATTTTTTGATGTATCAACTTCACATTGTTTTCCTTTTTCTGTTGTATTTCTGGGAATGTTACCTGTGGATTCTCCAGGTAATCTATAATTTGGATTATCATATACCTTAATTTGTCCCAAACAGTCCTGGTTTGTATATATACTGTCCTAGCAAAACCATTTTTTTAATTGTGAAAATACCATACAGAGGAGTTACAATTACATGGGCAAGATAATGAGCACATTTCTTATCAAGCACTGTTGCCTCCTCCTTTGTTTCCCTTTCCTATCCCTTCCCATCTCCCTCCCCTTTGCCCCCCCAATAGCAAAACTATTAATAACATCTTTTCCTATTTTTAAGTTGTGATTTAGATTTATATGGTCAGCCTATAGATTAGGAGTTCAATCCATTTTACATAAGATGCATATTTAACATATTCCTATAACCAAATTTGGTCTTTATATTATGGGTTGTGACAGAGTTGTCTTTTTAAATTGAGGAGTGTGCTTTCTAATGTATCTTCGAAGTTTGGAGTCCATCTCATGGGCTGATTGGGCTTTATACCTAATAACCAGTTTACTGGTGCACACTTGGTGCCCATGCCCTGAATCTTGACTATATATAACTTTTGGGTTTTGTTCTCTAACCATACTTACCCACCTTCTAGACTTGTAACCTCTCTCTCTCTTCCTCCTCCTTCTCCTGCTTCTCCTCCACCTCCCTCCCCTTACCCTCTTTTTCTCTCTCTCTGTTATTGCACTATGTAGTTATCCATAGCCCATCTTATGGTCTGTGTTTCACTGTCTATACCTGACTCTGATATATATAACAACTAAATATTATTAGAAGAATACATTTAGCCTTTTTGTTTTGTTTCATCTTTTTTTTTTTTTGTTTTTGGTTGGTTGTGGGGCCTGAACCCTGGGCCTGGGTGCTGTCCCTCAGCTTTTCATCTCATGGCTAGCACTCATCACTTGAACCACAGCACCACTTCCGGCTTTTTCTGCTTATGTGGTGCTGAAGAATTGAACCCAGGGCCTCATGCACGTGAGGCAAGCGTTCTACTGCTGAGCCACCTTCCCAGCCCCTGTTTCATCTTTTTTGTTCCACTGCATCTTGCTTTCAGAGTGTAAGGCTTTGGGCATGGATGCTTTCAAGAATTGGACACCAGAGCAATGCCAGTGTCGGGAAATAATGGAGCAAGCTTTTCAATAGTGGGAATAAGAATCCAATTCAGAAAAAGAACATATGTGCCTGCTCTTGCTTCCTCATACTCAAGTTCTATTCCTGGTACATTTCTTTGGGCATTTCTATACTGTTTATAGTGGCATTTTTAGGCCCACCTTCTCTCAGTGTTTTAAGAACAATGGGTACTCTGGGAAAAAGCTTTCTTACATTAAATTACACTGTTTTGGTCTCTGCCCTGAGTCTAAAAGAAAAGATGTCCATGTGTATTCTTCTGCTGAGAAAATGAAAAATTGAGTTCTCACTGAGATATTATTAGACTTTTTAAAAAATGGATTACACACTATGGTGTTTTCTGGCTCTCTAGCTGCTCTTAACTACATTTATTATCTTTTGGGAATTTCTAGTTACTAGCATAGAAAGAACCCATAAAATTTTGTGCTTTTGCCTCCTTTGGAACTAGTGCACAAGCATATGACCTCGATTCCATCAATTGCATAGATTTGGAAGTGAGCAACTCTATGTAAAAGGTGAAATACAGAATTCATTTCTCTGGGAAAGGAGTGGCAGAGAAAGTGTCTAGCAAACAGAATCATTAATAGACCCAAGAACAATTATGTTGAGTTGAGTTGCTTAAGAGTTTCAAATGTAACAGACCTATTGCCTTGTGGTAGCTAAGAGTAATTTCCTCCTTAGGACATTTATTTCTGCACTTTTATTATATTTTTTTATTTAAACTCAATTTTATTTTCTATTATCTTTAGGTATTTCTACAAAGGTGTTTTAATTCAATTTATGAGTATCATGTATCTTTTAAAAATATTATTCCAGGGCTGGGAAGGTAGCTCACTGGTAGAGCACTTGCCTTGCATGCCTGAGGCCCTAGGTTCGATTCCTCAGCACCATATAAGCAGAAAAAAAAAACCAGAAGTGGCGCTGTGGCTCAAGTGGTAGAGCACTAGCCTTGAGCTGAAGAGCTGAGGGACAGCGCCCAGGCCCAGAGTTCAAGCCCCATGACTGGACCCCCCCCCCAAAAAAAAATATTATTCCAGTGACTTTATTAACTTAATTGAAATGGATCAGTTAATTCTCAAAAATATACAAACTACTGAAGTCCACCCAATAGGAGATAATAATATGGTTTATCTTTATTATTAATTTAAATTAAAAGTTAAATTTTGTAATTTAAAAATCTCAGAAAATCTCAGGCCTAGCTGTGTTTATTGTTGACATGAACTTTTCCAGAAATTAGAAGAAGAGTGTATATTTTCACAATATTTATATGAGGTGAATATTACTCTGATGCCCAAACTAAACGATGGCTTGAAAAAAATTACAGATGAAAGTTTTCCTTGAAAATTGGTAAAAATGCTCCTAACAAATGCTTCCAAGTAGAACTTAGC